AACAGTTATTCCAGAAGAGTATTTAAAGATTAGTACTGTAAAGTAAATAAACCGTGATGCCCCTTACCACAGCAAACTGTTTGTTCAGCTTCATCTGCTCAGCCAGCACAGTGACATTGTGGAAAAGATGAGGCTGCATGTGACTCCACATGTGAGGGAACCACCAGAACTCCTTCCTATGTTTAAGCAGCATGTCATCCCCCTCATCTTCCTCATCTGTACCTACAGAGAACAGAAACGGAAGTGCAAAAACAAAAGGCAGAAAAGGGGCTCAATGTTTCAAAACAGTGGCTAATCCCCTGCAATGCTGAGTCGTTCCAACAGGGAATAATGCTCTCTCTAATGCAATACACACACCTAGAGGAACATGGGGGCTGTACATAGGCGCTGGGATGAAGGGGTACCATGTGCTTACCTGTGTGGTAGAATTTCCCTGAGAAGCCCAGGTTGAAGGTGAAATTTGGGACTAAAGTTCTCAGCTTATTCTGGGTGCTCAGTAAAGCCTGTTTGAATGAAAGGAAAAATAAATGTTCATATTCAGTTGCTCTGTAACGTTTCTCTGCGCTCTACTGGTGCCCAGTTCAGCCTGAAGAGGTATCACAGAGGATGGGGCTAAGGTATTGTTGCATGTGGAGCGAAGCAGAGTAGCCAAGCGCTCTACATACAGAGTCTTCACTTGAAGTAGTCCTGCTGTACTAAACAATGCCACTTCAAAACCACAGTCATAGATGATGCTTTCCAAGGTGAAGGACCCAGAGTGTGCTAAGGCAAAGAGACAATAAATCTCACTTCCAACGGATCCCTTACTCTTTCCAGGTTCAACCTCAAGGCTCTCTTCCTCTCCTGTGTTGACTGGGGACTTTGCTATTGAACTTCTGTCCCTTCTCTGAGCCTACGTGTTAATGAAAAGGGGGATGGGCAGTACATGGCGCACAGCTGAAGGAAGAGAAGTCAATACTATCATGAACAGTAACTAAGTGATCCAAAGGGAGGGGGCTTTTATTTAGAGAGGAAAGGTGGATTTGCAGAACTACCCATGCAAGGAGTGCTGGCATGGCAGGGAGGTATCCCTTGCTTTGTGTCCCTTGAAAGTGCCAAAATCATTCTGTAGTAGGAAAATGTCCTGGATTCTGGGAAGAAAACTCGGGGGAGCTGACATCCACAGTCATGACATCTCTTACAGGTTCTCTCTTGCTCATTTGTGTCTGCTTTCAATGTCCAAAGTAATTGCTATAGCCAAAGGGAAGAAGCCTTGCACCACAAACCCCAAGGTCCAGCAGTGTACAGACTAAGACAGCAGACAGCCTTGACAGAAAAAAAAAACCCAGAGGCTCAGTATGTCACAGACAAGTAAGACACAAACTGATTTCAGTCAAAATTCTTCTCCTGGAAAACAATAAAGAGAGAAGCCCTGAGGTGCATGCTCTGCTGCTACCTGTGTGCTTCGGGGAAGGTGTCACTGGTGCAGCTCCCTATGGAAGAAGTTCTCAGTCAAATAGGGACCTGGCAGGAGGGCTGTTGGCAGGTGACAGAGATGGTCCTTGCCCAGGCAGCTATTTAAGATTTTAATAGTTTTTCTAAGAATGCAATGGATCAGTGGCTGCACCAAGGTGAAGGTGATGACCCCTCAAAAGCAGGCTTGGGCTAGATGCAAATTCACCAGCAACTTGGCTCATACTACTGGGGAACGCATACAGACTTTTCAAACTGTGCAGGGGAGATGGGCAGATCTTTCTGTATCAGCTGCCCTTCCCCAGCCTCAGGAAGCACAAAAGAGCACTACAACGCTGCCTTCACGTGGCTCACACTCAGGCGTTGTTTAGGCACACTGCTCCCTAGGTGGTCAAAGCACGTTCACAAATGTAAAGTCTTCTTCAGTGGAGGGACCAGCCCTGACACCTACCAGTTAAGGATATCCTGACAAATCACTGCTGTCACTAATATTTCAAAACAGTGTTGACCAAACACTGATCATCACATTAATTTAAAAAATGATGACTTCTGTAATTTACTTCAATCACCCATCCACTGCAAATGTATCCTGGAGCAAAGAAGTTGAGCAGTTTTATTCCCAAGGCAGGCAGCCCATGACCTCTCAGACACGGCAAGGTGGGAAGACCAGACAGATTATTCCTGCAGTGCTGCAGACACTCAGTGCTCTCTCTGAAGGAACCAAGCTTTCAGACTTTTCCCTAGAGATGCACTTAATTGCCTGTTCCCCTCTCCACATCCACACAACAGTGACATTAAACACAGCTTGGGACAAATTTCAAAGATTCCAGCTCCTCCGTGGCCGCATGCCTACCACATCCTTACCCCAGCCCCCACCCAAGAGTAATATTTTGAGAATGTATGGCACATGACAGCTCCAGAACCTACCACAAATGTAGGCAGTGCTTTTAAAAGGTGACATGCCGGCAGCACTGATGGCTGAAGCCTCCTTTGCTGCACAAGATCCAGAACATTTCAAGCTCCCTTCACGTAATCCCTTAAGACACAGGGACTCATCCCACACGTCAGGGAGCACAGACTTAGAGCTGTGCACCTCTCTACAGAGAAGCACCTGTCTGCTCAGCTGGATGACAATACTGCATCAAATTTGGGACCAGCACCTTCAACACATTGCCCAGTATCTTAAGACAGGAAAGTGCCACTTTCTTTTCTTGTCTCCAGAACTGTCCCAAGCCTCACCACTTCTTTCTGCTGCCCTGAAAGGCACATCCAGTCCCTCATGCTCGGGTAGGAAGGTGGAGGAAGGAAAGACAGGGGCTAAGAAGCTTAGCATTGCTCTGCACCGAGGGAGATTTAAAGCCTGGCTGGGGTTACCATGACGACACATCTGTCTGATGATAAATCCCAAAAAGCCCTACTCCAGCAGGCAGCAATCCTTTGTAGCCAGGGAGGGGACCAGAGAGGAACCGGGTGGGCCCCAGAAATTCTGAGACTATGGAACCCTATTGAATCCTGCTTTCCTGGCGGGTTTATTGCTAATGGTGTGCCACCCCTCTGCTGATGCTGGGTCCTTTTCACAGCCACATCTATAAGGTGGCATGGCATAGGTTTGAAGAAATGTCTTTCCTCTGCACAGAATAAAAGAGACTAAGGTGCCAAGTAAAATATTTGGAAATTTGTTTTAACAAATTATGCATCCACTGTTCCCTAGCACACCGGTTCAAAGAGGGCTGTGAGCTGTAGTAAGGTGAAACAATACGGATGTGGGAACGGACCTGGAAGATGGCACTTCTCTCTGTTCTGACACCTCTGCACTCTGTTTCTCTTTATAAAGTAGGATGAACATGATAGTAATAATAATATCTTACAGGTGACTCAAGTGGCATTTCATTTACATCCATAATGTGCTCTGAGATCCTTAAATGCAAGGCAATCAAGAAATGTGGAGTAGGCTATCCATTAAGATACAAATAACTAGCCAGATGCAAACAGACCTTCATGTCCATATTTAAGAAATTCAGTTGCTCACATGGTACCGGGTAGAAAACTCCCCCTTCCACCCCTCCAAGTGTTTCTGTTTTATATTTTCTAACTATCTTCCAAAAACCCTTCCAAGACGCGGCCAAGCCCCCTAGCTAGCCAGAAAGGCCCCCTCCCCAGCTCAGCAAGGCTCACCCCAGGAAGGAACAAATGGGGTTTCCAAGAGATTTTCAGCACTGGCCACCAGAACTCATAAGCCATATCAGGGCCAGACCTGCTTCATGTTTGTCACAGTCTATCAGAGAACATCATCTACAACCCACAACCTGAAATTCTGAAGGCCTTTAGTACTTAATCAGGGCAGCCACACCGCAGACCCAAGTGACAGACATCCAGATTCCAATGAACATTTCTGGGCACAATGCAACAAACGTCTAAACTTTAGTCTGATGTTTGATGCCCACGACTTTAAAAGGCTTTTTAATAATCTCAAATGATTATAAATATTTACTTCTATGCAAATGTTAGGGAGAAATTTAAAATTGTGCCTTTTGTTGCAACACATTAAAAAAATCTATATAATCTCACTGATGGATCCGCAAAGATCTACTCAACAGTCACTACAAGCTCTTGATGCCATCCAGTGAAAGACAAAACCTCTCTCAGTGGGGTTAAAATTCTAGAAGTGAGGAAGAAATCTGGGGAAGCCATAGCAGCCTGATTGCACCCTCTTTAGGTTGCTTCTTTAGGACCTAATTCTCTTCTAAGATGGCATGGTGTCCTTGGCATCGCAATAATACAGGGCTCAATCTTCAAGCAACTCTGCTTTTTTAGCTATGAAATTTTTAGCTTCCAAAAGTTTCTGCAGAGATTTTAGCTGTTTCATACAAACCCTAAATATTACCTCCGCTGTCTGAGGTCCCCTCTAAAAAGAGGCAAAAGAAAAGGGGGAAATAAGGCTGAGAGTCAGATGCTGGGAAGAGAGGATACCATGAGCCTAGGAAAACAATACGTGGGCAAATGAAGAGAAACAGATGATAAGAGATGGAGGAAGCAGAGTGCTTTGACAGCTTCTTCTCAAATACTCATGCAAAGCATACTAGGAACGTGCTGCAGAGACACCTTCTTCATAGGAACGGACCCTGCGGACATTGGACAGCACATTCTCAAGTGGATTTTCTGCAGTCTTCTCACTGCCCAGGAGTAGTGCTGGCATAGCTCAAAACAGTGCTGTTGAAAGAGAAAGCACTCATGGTACTGGTATTTCTACCTCCCCTACAATGTTAGGATCAGGGAGTCAGAAAATACTGAATATTTTCATTTCAGATAAGATCACCCTCTACAATGTAGAAAGGCAAGAGCTGGCTGACAGCCACCCTCACCATTCGTAACCCAAAATGAAACAACCGTCCTTGATTTTCACTTAGCTTGCTCTCAGACTTGCTAGCAATGATTACTCACTATTTATGCCCTTGTCGAGATTACCAGCAAAAGAGGCAAAGCCTCATCTACTTAATCTTCTTTCCTCATACCTAAAGACGACCAGGAAGGATCATAAAAGCCAGATCCTTTTGCATTAGAAATGGCACATCTTTGTTGGCTAGTTCCATGGAGGTTTGGTAAATTCCAAGGATTATGATTTTAGAAGAGACTGAATGTGGAATAATTGAGAAGAGAAGGGATTCTCTGAGATTTGGTTTTGTTAATTATGTGCAGCTCATATCTCTGATAAACTTTACAAGGGAAAAATGTTTTCCTTGTGCCAGTTCCAACTGTTTCATTTCAACTGAGGACCGCAAGCTCCTGCTGCAGCCCTTCAGCAGAAACAGGAACTCGAGGGTTATCATCTTTAAAGTAAAAGATAGCATGATTCCTTTTTTCTTTTTAAAGAAGAAAGCTATTCAGGCCTTTTTTAAAGCATCACAAATAAAAAAAAAATCTCCTCTCACATAGGACATCTAGCATGGGCATGCATTTGATCAAACTATATTCAGCATTTTCTTTTAATAGCCATTTTGTCTGGGAAGCTCTCTGAACGTGGACCTGCATATGGCAAACAGGCTCAATGGGACAGCAGAGTCAATTTTATACCTTCACACAACATCCAATCTTCAAACCGCTACCTTGACCACTGTAATCTAAGCTTTAAGATAAGGAGCTGTGTGTTGAGATAACAGCCATGAAACAGAGCTTTCATATAAAAGGCCAAAGAAAATGCCAGCTGTTCTGTCACTATTATATCCCCTTCTCTTCCCCACGGTGAGAGGCTATCAACAAATCCATGTAGTTATTTCTCACTTTTAAAAAATAAAAATTCATTAACCTCTCGTGGCTCTGCAATCAGAGAGCTTCTTTTAAATGGATAAATCTGGGTTTTATCTGCTTTGCCTGAGATTCTCCGCTTACTGATCACAGATTATTCCTCCATTTCACCCTGTTAAAACCCAAACAAAGCATCTTTTGGAATTATCTTGACTGGGTTTGTTTTTAACATCACTAGAGCAGGCTTTGTTTCCAAGAGCTTTGGCCACCTATCTCCTGTTTTCTCACACAGGTCTGTAACCTACACATAAACAACAGAGGTGAGAATCTCTGCCAGTTTGGACTACAGGGTGCAGGGCCTGCTTAGGACCAAGATAAGACTGTGATCCTTCAGAAAAAAAAAAAAAGCTTTCAGAGCATTTCAGCACCTCAAAACAGAGGAACATGGAAGAAAATTTTAGCATTTTCCTTAGATAAGTATTATATACAACTGTTCCATTTTTCTGTACCTGCCTGCTTGGAAACACTTTTTCTATACCTGTTTGCTTAGAATTATGGTGAAAGGTGGCTCTAAAGAATTATTAAAGAACAAAGCAACTAAAATAAATAATGGCAAGCAATTAGAGCTGCTTCAGGCATGCAGCTTCAAATGATCTGAAAAGATAAAGCTAGCTCCAAATAGAATGCAAGAGATTCCTTTTCCCAAGGTAAACTTAGGATCAGAAGCAGAATTAAAAATCTCAAAGACCTGAAAAAAATGGGGATGAACTGAGATATGTCTTGCATGGATGCACAAAACATGCAGAAAAGGTGGTAAGACTCCTAGTGAGGTGGAAGAGTGCTCTTGGGAACATGTAACAGATGAGGTTCAGTTCAGGTAAGGAGACACGCATGTACAACAGTATTTTGTTTTATACCTTTGCCTCAAATGGTCTGTGCCCTTGGATGGAAGGAGAAACGGTGCTTCACTTTGAAGTTGTTTTGGAAACATGCTAAGGCAACTGCTGTCACAGGCTTATCGTCATCATGTCTGGTACCCAGGAAACTCCATCCAGGACCTATCTAAGGGCAAGAGCTAAATGGGAATCCAGAGTGAAAGGCCTGGGGCCTTATACCTCTGGGAGCACCCTCAGCATGCCTGGATAAACAGACAACGCACCTGCCTCAATGGCTACAAACCAGAACTGACGGGGAAGATACAAAGGCAAGTCCTTGGCTCCATGAGGCAGCATACGTACAGATATCACAGATTTAGGAGAACACTTTATCACATACTTTCAAGGACACAGAGAATTAGAAGGGGCTCTTAGTTTCTTACGTTATTCCTCCTTGTTTCCTCCTTTGCCTGTCTCGCTTCCCCCTCCTCCACAAAATCTCCCTCTGTTTCTTTCCCATATCCTTTCCTAATAAGTCACTGGGAAAGCAAACCACAAAGATGGCATCTCTCTTTTCCAATCGTGAGGCCGCAGAGACAGTTCTCATGAGGGCTTGGTCTGAGCATGTTTCCCTCATGGATTTAGTGGATATTCCCTGCCTAGGGATGGGGGTGGCTGGTGGAGGATATGAGTGGCGTGTAACGAAGGGTGAGAGGAAACCTTTCTCTGCCCCATTTGATTATGTCCTGAAAAGCTAGATGGCTAAAACATAGACTACAGCAGTTTACACCCCACGGACTGGCCTAGAGTTTTGCAGTATAATATATACAGGTTTTATATATAATAATAGATAATAACATAATAAATACAGTTTTTCTATTCTATTCTAACACAAGTTGCCTTTTCCTTCTGAAAGTTTAAGTTTACTGCTACAAATAGACTGACAGAGGAAATCTGCATACGCTTGTTCCCTGTGATAAAGAGGAGACAGGATAGACCACCACAGGGATCCTCCTCTTAAATTCAGAGATGCCAGCTACAGGTCCCAGAGTGAAAAATGCTTCATTTAAACCTGGAAAAACTGTTGAGAGCATCACATACAGTGCCTCAGCATCTTTGCAGGTTACTTCTCTGTTTCAGATGAGAACAACTGCAGCAATCAATTCTCTCACTCAAATCAAATGCAACCTCAACTTTCCTGGCATACCACACACACTAGAAATTTGTCTGGGGCCTGTAGTTATTCTGGGGATTTTACCTCTACGTCAGACACTTTCATGCGAGTGCCCTCTTTTCCCACAAATATATCATCAATGTCGACGAGGATATAGCGATCAAGCGTGAGACAGAGGCGCTTGCCAGTCAAGTAGGCAATGGCATCCACGAAAATGAGTTTATGCAGCCAAAAATTGAGGTTATTGCCGAAGAGAACCCGCTGGATCCCATCATGCAGACCCAGGTCCTGCACCACCGTGGCATGCAACGCTTTGTGAGTGGCCAGGTGAGGAATGGACTCCGAGGACTTCGTGCTGGCCAACAGCACTGGCTCATAGGTGCTGTGGTTTGACTGGAACACAGTCCAGTCATCACCAGGCAGGGGTCCCTGCTCCACCTCATTAGCCCGGGTGACGTAGAGCAGGGGAGCACTAGGGTTGATGTGATAGTCCCGCAGCCCCAAGTTGGAATGTAGGAAAAGGGGGAAACCCTTGAGCTGTGCGCTGAGCAGGCTGTTCTCGTTGGCTTTGAAAAAGCCTATAATCCCCACTCCATACTCTACACAGTATTTGTCCAGCAGCTCTCGGTTCCAAGCATCTAGGTTCACATATTTAAGGATGTTCTCATAGATTATAAGAGCATAGCGTCCCCTGTCTTTGTCTGTCAGAGTGGGCATATCCCCTTTGCCAGGGGCGATCTCTGTCCTGTATTTAAACCGGCTAGATTCCAGGATGGCCACTATTTCCTGCCCCAGCTGGGAGTAAATACTTTCCACAAAGACTAGCACCACTGGATCTGTGCGTGAGGTGTCCACAGATTTTGTGAGCCTCCAGCTGGCTTGGGGTGGGATCAAGATGCGGTGCTGGTTGCTGCAGTCACTGAAGGGCAGGGGCGGTGGTTCCTTGATTTTGGGACTGTTAGTGACGTAGTAAGCCAGGAAGCACATGGAGATCAGGCTGAAGGCAATGAGCAGCAGGATCAATCTGTGGAGCTCCAGCTGTCGCACGTGCCGCACTACTTTCCACAACTGAATCATGGTGAGGCGGGCTGCCCACCCCCTCCTCACACTCTGCACCCACGTCGCTCTTGAAATCTCCAGTGCCGCCGTGGCAGTACCCAGCAGCAGCTCGCAAAAAAGAAACAGCAGCTGCGGAGAGAGACAAAGCTAAAGCAAACAGCTACAAGGCTAGACTCCCAGGGATCTGCCATTTATCTCAAGTAACCATGGCCCTCAATTCCCATTGCTCTTTTGTGTGCTTTCTCCTGTTCCTTTCCTCTCACTCAGGAAAGTCTTTTGAAGGAGCGGGGTTTCTCAAATCTCGTCTCCAACAGCAAATCAGTCTGTCATCCTGTGCACAAGCAGTTTCGGCTCAGCCTTCCCAGGTGTCCTGTTTCTGATTTAGCTGTTTCGCATTCACATGATGGCACCTTCTCTTCGCATCCTGCAATTTAAAAAGAAGTAGTCAATTCTTGGTATGGATTCATGGTATTTAATGGGTTTGAAATGAAACAGCAGGATCAGCAGGTGCTAGGTGGGCAGCACTACTTGCCTGTCAGCAGGCAGACCTGTTCCCTGGGAAGTGATGCACACCATTTGCAGAGGAGCTTGGCAGAACAACTGTAATGGCCTTTGGAAGAAAGGTCCTGGCAGTGCTCAAGGACTCAGCATTCGCCTTGGATGAGATTCACACACACTACAGCAAACAGAGCTGGTATACCTGGCCTTCCCCCACTCCTCTTTATGCCGTTGAACAGAAAATACGAACCTCTGTTATTCTAGCCTGTATTTCAAAATTAACAAGAGGAGGAGAGAGCCTTTACATTCTTTGTCTTGTCCTGTTCTGATACTAATGACAAAGTGTCTGAGTCCTTTCCTGTGACTTCCCAGGCCCTCCAGATACTGCTGTCCTGAACCCAGCAAGATGTCTCAAATTCCCACCAGCAATCTTGCCCCCCAGCTCCTGATTTCCATGGTCCCCACCCCTCTTTACAAGGCTGCCCCACTTGTCCTGGGAACTCATGTTCTTCTAGGGCTGTGGGGAGGCATTGTCCCTCAGGCATCACGGAGCCAGGAGGGCACAGGCCACCCACACACTGCACGCCTAATTGCTGCCAATTGATTCAGCAGCAGTTGGGAGATGAAACATCTCCTGAAACCTTCCGCACCTTCCCTCATATGCCACTGAAGAGCATGAAGCCAGTTTTAAATCACCAATGGCATGACGTAAATTTGGGCTGGTCTCAAATACGTGAAAGCTTCTTGTTACGAAGCTCTCTCACCTCCCGCTTTGTGTTTATGACAGCAGACTATTTCACCATATGTTGTTATTTTTCCAGGATAAAATGCTCAACAAAGCCAACAAACACCAAGCCATCTAAAACATGGGAAAGTAACTACATTGCTCTATGGTTTAAAAATAAAATAAAATTACTGTGTAGTTTTCTCTCCCTTACCAGAAGTGTGACTTACCTACAGCAACAACACCCAGGTGTGCATTACTTGGGATACAGGCACATTTTTGGGGAGCACCTGCTGCCTCTCCCAGCACAGTACAAAACACCCTGGATGCCAGATGTTGCTCACCAAATCAGCCATGCCCATAATGAGCTGTCTGTAAAAGTTAAAACCCCTTTTTTCTCTCCAAACCTTTCTTCCTCACCCACCCACACTCCTGCAGACATGCTCCACCACATACAATCCCCCTAACCACCTGCTCCACTGGCACAGCGTGCAACACCAGGAGGCACAAGAGCAACAATAACAAAAAGGACTATCAAAACATCCTTTCTCCAGTCCTTCCATTTTTGAGCCTTTATGTTACTATCATGCTGATAAAACAAAGAATATTACAAGAGTAGTTTGTCCGGAAGTTTCAGACAGACATAAGGTCATAGTAAAGTCAGGGTTTGAACAGCTAGCTTCACCAGAAAAGAAACTACTTGTGAGACAGATGCTTATTTTGCACCACCAGAAAGTACTTGTGAGACAGATGCTTATTTTGTAATGTGCATTACTAAACAGAAAAAAATCCTTCTGAGTCAGGGAAAATATCAGTTCACAGATGAGGCCAAAAGTCCCATTCTAAAGACTCCCACCAGGCTCCTGTCCAAACTGCTGATACAGCTTGAAGTAGAGACAAAAAACCCCAAGCAGATTTCATATGAAGAGATATAATATTGCTAACTTTGTGACAGCGGATGGAAAAGAGTCAGAGTGCCCTTTATGCAAGCCTTTTAATGATCATTAAGAATTATCTCAAATAATATAAGCTCAGCAGTACACAGACTGGCTTGTGTAGTGCACAATGAAACCTTAGCCCCAATGAGGTCTTCAGAATAGTTGTAGACTGTAAATATAAAGTATATTACAGAAATAATTTTCCACTGGAGAAACTGAGACACAACAAATCTTGTTGAAGGTCACACTGCAAGGCAGCAGATGAATCAAGATTTAAAAAAAAAAAATCTCTATTCCCCAGACTCCAAATGGATTGAGTCTCCGTTCCCAAATGGCCCTCTGTAATGACAGAGCTGGCTCTGGAAATCCAGCTCAGCCAGTGACAATAAGCTGTGTTTTCTTCAACACAGACAACCGATCACCTTTCAGTTTTGTCTTACATACGGTTAACTTTTTATTGGAAAAAGGACAAGGGAGAGAAGGGGAGAAATTACTATGGGAAGATGTAAAAAACAGAATTCAGATCATTTTTTTCCTTTTTTTGTTACTGAAGCAACAAATGATTTTGAATGCATGACTCCCTGGATTGAGTGCAGGATACAGACTGTAATTCCAGTTCAAGTCAAGTTCAGTCCCAGTGATACACTGGGACTGCCAGTGTATCAGCATAGTACCCAAAACCACATGCTACCTTTCAAAAGCAAGCAGGAAAATAATCTTTCCACCTCCGCAATGAGTCTTTCCCATCCCACTGACTGCAAGGAAGGCTCCGATGTTGCCACCCTTGTATGTGGCATTAGAGCTCCAAAGTCACATTGAACTGCAGAGAAGCAGGAGCCAGTGGAAGCAGAATTCATCAGGGCAGAGAGAGGTTAGATAGAAACGTATAATAAATGCTGTATTTTTTTTATGAGGTGAATTCTCTGTAAAACAACATATACACAGCTCCATGCATTACTAGCTGCTATGAGAAAGTCTTCATTCTACTCCTGTGCAACAAATGCATACAAAAGCACTCAGATTCCTACATACTCAATTTTGACTGAGAGGCTGAGAATTGCAAGTCAGTGTCTTCCCAAATAGCTCACAATCTTTTGCTTTTTAAATCCCACTGCATAAAATAGAATAATTAGGCTATTGTGGATTCAAAGATTCACTGTCTTAACATGTATTAGATAAGAAGTACTTTTTGCAGTAGAAAACAACGTAAAGAGGGACCTAAAAGCTCAAGGAGCCCATGCGTTGCCTGCTGAAATTTCCAAGCTAGTGTTTCTGGGGTAGAATTTGTAACCTAAACACCATGGTAACAGTAAGAAAACAGAGAGTATGCTGATCTATGCAAAAGTCTGGCAAAGTACTGTACTACTTTTACAACTCTTTACTTCCAAAACATCAACCTGGAAAACACTTCTCTTCCCTGGTTACACTCACTCACCTCTCCAACTTCAGTTTTAGTGTTGAACTGAATCTATTTTGCAAAGACCGGTAGCTTCAGTTTCCTGGTTATCAGTGTAAAGATGAAAATCACAAGAAAAGTGGATTATTCTGTAGAATAAGGATGAAACCAGAGTTTATCACAAGACAACTGGATTATTCTGTAGAATAAGGATGAAACCAGAGTTTAAGCTAGGCTGCCACACCTGCAGTGCCCAGCTGAGGGGCAAGAGGGAGAGGAACCCCCTTTGCTGGGTGATTCTGAATCACAGCAGTGTTTTGATAACAATGACTCCATTCAAGCCTCTAGCAAAGCTCCCAAACAAGCCCCCATTTGTTACATGGGTGAGCTCAAAAAAACAAATTTAAAAAAAAGGCCTGTATCAGATTGCTGCTCAAGAATCTGTCAGCTCCGATCTCTTTAACAAGGCTTCACAGCCAGAGGGCATGCCAGCTGGCACAGTAAGCATTTAGCTCTTTGGGGACCACATCAGCTGGTTTAGGTTCAAATGAAAAGAAAAAAAAAGCAACAAAACAAATATACCAACAAAAATTTATACAAAAAGGTGAGCGCGCCGTCAGAAACCACCCATACCCAAAACACAAAGCCCAGAAGGATCTATACTGCAGAAAGAAAAGAAAAAAAAAAAAATCATACTGAAAATTGCTCCCTCTTAAAGGAAAAGAAAATACCTGTGTCTTCTTTTGAAATCAAACTCCTTGGAATCTAATACCGTAAAAAACCCAAGATAAATTAAGGTCCATTCCGAACCCCTGCCAGGACTGCCCGAGTGTGAATTGCAGGAGGCAGCAGCCAGAACGCACGGCAAGGATGAAGCGCTACACTGCTGCAAGGACGCAGGCTCAGCAGGCTCCCGTCCTGTCAGAAAAGCATCACTAGATCAGAGAGCATCAGCCGTAAGGTCAGCTATCTCACAAATCACCAGCATTAAGAGAAATGCTTTATAAAACTTAGATGTTCTGTTTCCTACTGATACACAGCGTTAAAGTGAACCATAAACAGTTTTGTGAATTATCAGCTACTAAGCCACATGGCAACTGATGTGATATGAAAGCAAGATAGCAATCAGAATTGTGTGGTTTTAATGTCTGATCTCCAGATATTACCAACGCTTGGAAATTATTGTGGGGGATCAGTACAAATGCTCAATTAGCACTTGTCCAAACCAGTGACCAAAATACATGTATTTGGGGCTGCTGGTACATTCATGCCAAGGCACATGGAAGATAACGGGTGTCATTTGACACCTTTATCAAGAATTTCTGTCGCACAAGCTCCTTCCTAGCTGAGCCACAGAAGGTCTTACCACCCTAAACCCCAGTGTCACAAGGACATTTCCCCAGCCCTTTTTATTATTCATAATATAACCCTTCTTTCTGGAGCGCAGAGCGGCAGGATCATGCCTTTGCCCACAGCAGCTCTAATTCAGAGGTCTTTCTTTGGCAGTTCCTGCAAGACGGTTGTTGCCTTGGGCCCCGGAGGGACTGCAGTAATTGAGTTACACAGTAATCAGAGGAGGAATCTGATTGATTTTCCAACCCATTCCACTTTAATGGTGTCATCTCGACACAAAATTCCTCTTTTGTCTGCTTGATTGCGAGACTCCGTGGCCCCTCCCTTGTCTGTGGTGGTATCTGTACGCCAGGCCTCCAGGTACGGGCCCTCTCTCCTGAGGGTGGGGAACCTGGCGGGTTCATCAGCAGAGCACAGTGAGCCACCTGCCAAAAGCATTAGTACGCCTTCAGGAGAACAAACGCTGGTTGTACCCCACATATTGGATAAAAAAACCATACTGTGGAAATTACAGC